GTAGAAGCACAAGATCTGCGCAACTTCGAGTTACTTAGTTACGCACTGTGCCCCTTGTAACTGTACAAACTTAAGAAGTAAACAGCTTGAACAAGATATACGCCGAATGATTGTATTGTGATACAACGAAAAGCTTTTCGGGAGCGGCTAGGTGCTTGAGCATCGGGAATGATGAAGCGGATGTCGTTGGCGTCGCACAAGACCTGGTCGGGGACCTCGATGTCCGTCTGTTTGTATAAGCTTATATCGATAAGATAAGATAGAGCTCGAGGTCGAGATTCAATGTTATCGATAACTTGAATTATGTTATAATTATGTAATCATATGCAAGCCAACGTTGGCACGTGTCCTCAGACCAATCCAGACCTGCTGATAAACCGTGATGTTGAGGGAGTACAAGTTTTCTTATCAGCAAACCAGCGTTTGATTGGAGAATTACTGTTAGTACACATGTCACGACGCTTCGAGTTCGTCTGAATTCCAAACCTTAAAGCTTAATCTTTAATGACAGCATTGCAATGAAACGGATACCGTGGACCTCTGAGGATCGTAGCTAAAACACTAAACACTAAACATCCGATGATCACCTTCAAAGCTTCAATTTTCTATTCGCGTTTTGTTTTGTTGGTTCCCAGTTGAAAATTTGAAGAAACGATAGTCGCAAACCATATTATACCAAAACGTTTATTTTTTTTCTTTTTCTTTTTGCAATTTGCAATTCCTCACCTTCGGTCTCTAGCTGGTTTCGAGAACGAGAACGGGTGGGAAATTCGCAGGTCCTTTCGTCGCTCCGCCCACCAGTTCTTCATACGCCACATGCTTTCTTCTCCATTCTCCTGCCGGTGATGCCCTTGCTAGGCATGGGCAGTTGGACGTTGGCCACCTCCCACAAATCGACGAATTATGGCGCTCTTACCAGGTTGATCGTGCTGTTCGCGCTGTTGGTGTCATGGCTGGATTTGGTGGAGGCGATGCGCCCCAGTCGCATTGCCGAGTTGAGGCAGGATACGGTCGATATGTTCTATCACGGCTTCGATAATTACATGAATATTGCCTTTCCCGAAGACGAGGTATGCATCTAATGATCTTGTGGAAAAAACACTTGAACAAAGAGAAAGAAGAAAAAGTAGAATTGTGCATTAGCTTATACCTAATTTTTATAGTTACGGCCCGTCACTTGTACGCCGTTAACTCGAGACCCTCTAAACCCGCGAAATATTGCGCTTAATGACGTCCTGGGGAACTACTCCCTAACCCTCATCGATAGTCTTTCCTCGCTTGCCATCCTTGCCTCTGCGCCTCCCGACAGTAAAAATACCGGCCCGAAAGCTTTAAGTGATTTTCAAGATGGTGTAGCCGCGTTGGTCGCACAATATGGTGATGGACGGCCCGGTCCGACGGGACAGGGCGCTCGTAGTCGTGGGTTTGATGTTGACAGCAAGGTCCAAGTCTTCGAAACGGTTATAAGAGGCGTTGGTGGACTATTGAGTGCCCATCTTTTTGCCGTTGGAGAGTTGCCCATATCGGGTTATAACCCACGGGTTGTGTACAACGATGATGGTGATAGCGATATTGAAAAACATCCTATCCCATGGCCGAACGGGTTCAAGTATGACGGGCAGCTGTTACGACTCGCTCTTGACTTAGCTCAACGCTTACTCCCGGCTTTTTATACTCAAACCGGGTTGCCTTACCCACGTGTTAATCTCCGTCATGGGATTCCGTTCTATCTAAACTCCCCGCTCCATGGCAATAACCTAGATCCAAGTCCACCTGAGGATAATCCCGAGATCACTGAAACATGCAGTGCCGGAGCAGGTAGTTTAGTTTTGGAGTTCACCGTGCTAAGTCGTCTTACTGGAGACCCGAGATTTGAGCAAGCAGCTAAGAGAGCGTTTTGGGCTGTGTGGTCGAGAAGAAGCAACATCGGCCTTATTGGAGCTGGCGTAGATGCCGAAGGGGGTCACTGGATCGGAGGGTTCTCCGGGATCGGCGCCGGGATTGATAGTTTCTTTGAGTATGCTCTCAAGACTCACATCCTGTTGTCCGGTCAGGAGTTGCCGAATCGGACGATGCCCCAAAGTCACGACGGGAACTGGCTTGACCCGAATCAGTTATATCATCCGCTTACAGACGAGGATAACTCTGCCGACTCTTTTCTGCAAGCTTGGCACCATGCTCATGCTGCTATCAAGCGCCATCTTTACTCAGGATTACATCATCCTCACTACGTGAATGCGCATATGTCTACTGGCTCACCGCAAGCATATTGGATTGACAGTTTAGGTGCATATTACTCTGGCTTATTAGCACTCGCCGGTGAGCTTGATGAGGCCATTGAGACACATTTAGTATACACTGCTCTTTGGACTCGGTACTCAGCCCTTCCAGAGCGATGGTCTGTACGCGACGGTCATGTTGAAGGGGGTCTCGGCTGGTGGCCTGGTCGACCCGAATTTATCGAGTCTACGTATCACTTGTACCGTGCTACCCGAGACCCGTGGTACCTTTACGCGGGCGAGATGGTTCTAAAAGACATTAACAGGCGATGTTGGACAAAATGTGGTTGGTCCGGCTTACAAGATGTCCGTACCGGAGAGAAGAGCGACCGGATGGAGAGCTTCTTCCTCGGAGAGACAGCTAAATACCTATATCTCCTCTTTGACCCTGATCATCCCTTGAACAAACTTGACGCTTCGTACGTGTTTACTACGGAAGGTCATCCGTTAATTATTCCTCGAAAGAGGACTCGTCGTCCGGTTCATACACCAGTATCAGAGAGAGCTGTCCAGCCTTACTTTGATGCTCAATTCACCAACACCTGTCCTCGTCCACCAGTTTTGCCTCCGTTGACCAGTTCAGCCGTTGCTGCCAGACCTGACTTCTACAATGCGGCAACTCTAATCCGGCTCCACCAGATCCCTAATATACACGGCGGGTCAGAAAGCCCTATCCCTAAGCTGGGTGGTTCCAAATCACAGATACGACTACCAGAGAGGCCAAAGGAGAACTATACCTATTTCCCTTGGACATTGCCCCGCTCCATGCTTCCAGCTGATGGAATCTGCGCAGTAACCAAACAGGCACAGACATCAGTAATTGAATTCCCTTCTGGCTCTCAGCAATCAGTAGGCAGTGCCTTCAACCTCATGTTCGGCGGCCATAATCTAGTCCGTATGGGCAGCGAGGGCATTGCGATTAATAGCCTGGCGGGTCTAAAGCTAGCTCTGCTTATAGAAGAGCCTCCAGAAACGAACGAACGAACCTGGAGAGTCTACAGCATTGGCAGCTTACCATTGGGTCGCGATGAGAAAGTCTTCATTTCTCGCGAGGTTCTTGAGGATATGTCCGACCCGTTATTTCACCGCATCCGCAACTCAGTCATCGTTGATATTCTTCTTCAAATTGAAGTTCCTCCAGAACCATCAGAGTATAATTCTTCCGTCGTGGATCCAGAGCCGCCTTCGGAGTCGCAATCTACTATTGAACTCGAAACTGATTCGGCGGTCGGCATGTTCAGCTCATTCTTGCAGCAGATTACGTCTGCCCTACGGGAACCAGTCGCCACCTTCGGCCCAGAACCCGTCCCCCAGCCTCAGTACCGGTACGTCGAATTGCCGGCCATCACGCCTGTAGGCAAGGGTGCCGCACCGTTACCCGACGTCCGCGAGGCGCCGAACCCAAATACGAGCGATGTCCTCGACTCCCTCTCGTGGCAGAGCGTCTACTTCGCCGGGTACGCGTGCAATGGCAAACTGCCCGACGCCGCACCCCGCGCTCACCAGGTTATCGTCATGCGTCGCGGCGGGTGCTCGTTCTCGCAGAAATTAGCTAATATTCCGTCGTTCGCACCCGCAAGAGGCGCGCTGCAGCTCGTGCTCGTAGTGTCGGATGATAAAGTCGACAACGATGACGACAATGAGGACGAGGATCAGAACGAGAAAGGGGGGAAAGGCGGAAGGGGCGGAGAGCCGACTATGGATTTCATCAGGCCGTTGCTAGACGAGGCGCAGAAGACGCCCGCGGGCATACATCGACACAGACCTATCGCTATGCTGATGACTGGGGGCGGCGAGGAGGCGTACGAGGTGTTGAAGACGACAAGGAGTTTGGGGCTGAGGAGGAGGTATCATGTCGAGAGTCAGGGGCTTAAGATTAGTAACTTGGTCGTGCTGTGAGCGTGACGTGGGGAGGGAGAGGTGGAGGGGGATATATAGAGGTACGAAGCTATGATAGCTAGTCGCATCGTACCATGTTGGTTTGCGTTGGTTGGGAGGGATGTGGTAGTATATAGGATCCGGTGTATATATTCGACTGGAAAATCTTCATAGTGAAGAGTTGATTGAATAGACGAGAGTCATACTAAACAAACTTGAGCTACTAGGTGCTGTTTTTCATTGAATAAGCCAGAATATGCCTAGCTAGGGCAAATGTATGGAAATGGGTATAGAAGTCTTCTTGTCAAATTACCTCCGCCAAACTACTTGAATTTCTCACGTATAGAGCAAGGAAATTTGGTTCATTTACCTGTCCAACGGTTTCACTTGGGTACCTACCTAGGTACCTAGGTAGATAGATAAATGGATGATATGATATATACAAGATTGAGACGGTCATGATGTTTGAGCTGCACATGATCATCTAGTACTGGCCAATTGGAGAGAACTCAAGCGACGACATGGTTGATGATACAATAGTAGTCGCCATTAACAATCTCACTAAATTGACTTTAATTTGTAGGTAATTTTCCACTACTATGATGAAGTGGCGTCGTATTTGGGCTTGATATTACCGTCATTTGGAAGGACATTGAGGTGGGGATCACCGATGTGGCTTTCTTGTGCATAACGCCAATCTCCTCAGTCTCATGGGACTTTATTAAAAAATGACTTTTTTAATAAAGTATGTTGTGTTCAACAACCACGAGTAGAAAAATTTTAAATGAGTAAAAAAAAAATTAGAAAAAAAGATGGTATAAGAGGAATTTAACCTCTAAACATTGGACTCGCGGGGAATCGAACCCCGGACCACTCCCAGACTTAGTAGAACGAAGCGCCTAGAAACGAAGCCATCGCGAGATAGATCGCCGCTCGGTGGGTCGTAGCTGCTAAGGGAGTATTATACCACTAAACCACAAGCCCCTGCCCAGGTTACATCACTCGTGCTGCCTGATTGGTTGGAGGATGCGTTGCTCGTTAGAGATTATATGGATGGTTTCCTGTGTTTGTGTTGTGGATTGGTGGAGGTATGTGTGGAGTGAGGGTTGTGTTAGTGTGACAATAGCGCGGTTTGGGAGAATTGGATGGATGAATCTTGGGATGAAATGGCGTCTGGCCTATCAGTGGGTTCGGGTTAGTTGTGTGAATAGAGAAGGCTTCATTGGTAGAATGTCTGTACGGATGGATATCGAGAGCGGGGGATACCAGTTCATGATGTGCCTGAGAGGAGACTATAATGTCATAATGGATCTCAGCTCACGAACCGGCCGAAAAGATTTACATGTTGATCGTCGACAGTTGTTCAATAGTGTACATGAAGAGAGCGTGCTAGCTAGTATATCTCCACGAGGATGGCATCAGCTATACTATGCATGTCGATCTATCTCCCGTCACAAGGCTATAGCTGAATGTCGTTAGAAAATCCGAGCCGAAGACCACAAGCGTCTTGGATAATAAGCATAAATATCCGAAGTAGAATTAGTCAATTTAGTAAGGTAGCGAATATGTCATAGGTCTAACTGAGTTGAGGTCTCGTTTAAGTGAGACTCAATCCTTATTCAGACTCGACTAGATGACAATTCAGTTCACGATGTGACCAACACGATTCCCATCACGAACTCAAGGGCTTACAAGCGACGAGCCAACTAGCCAACGATGACTTCGTAACGTTAAGCGAACGAACCAACTCAATCGATATCGAACGATACCGTCGGCGGGTCGTATTTATATCATAGAGAAAGCACCGTTGCGTCCGTGAACTCCAGCTGACCCGACCCAGGCGACAGCAACGAGCTAACCAGATAGCGCGACGCTTCTTTATAAACTTCGGTCCCTTCTACGACGGGCTATTGGGATCGCGTATTTCGGGGACTGGGATGGGTAGGTAAGGTAAGCTTGTGATAATTGGACTAGCCAACGACGAACAATTCCGTGCCGTATCTGACTCGAGGACCCTTCAGGGACCCATGCTAGATCGTTCGCCTACCCATAGTGTAGTAAGATGATGCTACAATTGGATCTAGATAGCCGATCACCCCATCTAATAACCGCGAAAAATGTTCACCGCTGAGCTATCGAGAGGAGAGAGAATTCATACACATAGCGAAATAGCAAATGAGAAATAGAACGGAATCGCACGTGGGCTCCGGGACTCCGACTCGCTATGACTGTTACAGCAGCTGGCATTCTGGAGCTTTTCGTCCGAGCGTCCGAATGACGGGTTGACTTATTAAATGTTGACGATAAAGAGGTGGCTGGAGGGCTGCGATTAGAAGACGTGATATAATCTTTCGCTTGCATTATCAGACAGCCGCATCCGCATCTGCTGTCAGTGCAGATACGAGAACCCAACCCATCCCACGCCATATTTCGCTTGGCCTCGGCCGGCGCGGCGAATTCGAACTATGTGATCCGCCAAGTTGCCCGGACGATATCTTACCACTCTAGTGTCTATTTTACTCGGTCCTATAATAGTAGACTTCACGATCTCGTAATTGCTCAATTAGCTCATTATTTTTGAACGAAGTAAAGTAATTAGGAGGCCTATGAGCCTCATAGTCGTATTTGTGAGCTGAAAAAATATAACTCAAGCAGGTAACAATATCTAATTGTTGGGGGTATTCTCGAAGACGGTATGTAACGTCGTCTCGGTCGATATCCATCTCGCATGTAACGCCATAAACTTCTATCGCATGCAGTGCAGATGCTCATCTTCCAATCGACCAGGTGTAAATGATGATTGGCCGTCGTTAATCTCATAATAATTTTTCGCCCACCGAATGCCCCACTTTGAACTCCAGTTGCCCATGACAATATGCTAGACCCATGGAAAAAACGCCGATATGATGCTGATCATGCTGGTGCTGAGAAAATGAAGAGGATCGTGAAAAGTGCTCTTGGAGACAAGGCACCAAATCTCGCTCGATCATCGTGTGTTGTACATGATCGCTGAGCTCTTGCTTTCCTCCGCCGGTCCCATCGCGACGACGACAGAGCCCTTGCAAACTCCGTAACTGCAGCATTCTTCGGCCGGCATCGTTCCTTGAAGAATTAAATCTCGCTTGGACTATGTAGAAGTTAGTATCGATAGAATAGTCGGTTGTTATCGTAAAGACATACGTCGGGACAGCGGATGGGAGATGCGTTGACTGAGGCTCCTAATAAGGAGAATGTCGTGACGACCGATATTAAGAAGTTGAACAACATCTTGATTTGTCTGATATGTGACCGAGATATCCAGGCAAGTCGATAGTGTTTGAAAGCCGGGTAGATGGTTTTATTTATCAGTTGTGTGGCGGTATGTTGGGAAGGATTTTAATATAATTTGGGTGTGCTAGGTGTATAGCTGACACAATCCTTATCGACCTGCTAATAAGAGAAGAGACCTGGTAGTTTGAATGTAACGAGAGAACGTCCAACTATATAAATTTGCAGGAGAGGGATTAGACGAAACTACCTATCCGCCCAAGACTAATGAGCAGCGGTACTCATAATATAAGAAGAAATCAACGGATGGATCCCGCTAGGGTAGAAATGGTGTCAGAACTCGGGACATCCTACCTTACATACATACTGTATCCATAGGTATATGCAGCTTCTTTAGCCCTATGCGCGCCACGGCAACATCCCACCCTTGTGAGCTGAGTGCCCTTGGATTGTCTATTGTACATTGTGTACATTGTGGATTGCGGCTATTTGTCAAGACGACGGATCTAAAAAGGACGCGGCTGAAGGAGCCGGTGATCCAGAACTCTGTGGCTGTGACTTCATTGCTAGGGAGCATGACGAAAGGTGTCCAAGATTCAGATAGATGGCAGGCATCCATATGCCATTACGGCGAGTAAGCCTGTCAGGCTAGTCAGGTAGGGCTGCTGACAGGGTTAGGTTCGTCATTTGCGTGCCAGCGGCTCGGGGCAGAAAACAACGAAGGGAATAAAAAAGGCAAAAAAAGGCCAAGTGGCTATGACTGGCATCTCGTGAAGATCCCAGACCGTCGGCCATGCCAAGCCCACCACAATTTCTCTTAAAAGTTAGTCGTTTACAATTAAGAACTATTTCTCAATGCGAGAATAATATACGAGACGGTTAGAAAAAAACTCGAATTGTAATAGCCTTTTCAGCCCGGAACTACCGATTATGTTAAGCAAAACGAAGTTCGTGATTGGATCAAACAGCTGATGCTAGGAATGTCTCGAGCTGAAGAAAATAGAAACAAAAGAAGATGGCTAACCTGTTCGGTGGTGGCTTGGATTTGGTGGAGCTGAAACTAACCATGCACGGGCCGGAAAATCTCCAGTCCGTCCACCAAGAACACCGTGGAAAGAACTCCATTGCCAATTTAAGAACCGAAATTACATAATCCCTTTTATGCCGGATGGAACTTTCCCTTTCCCCTGCGGCTCCCTTGTGGCTTCCAAGGTTTCATTATTCTAAAAAGTTCACCTATGAAATCTCATATCTTGTTTTATGCACTCACAAAATCCCTCAGATGCACATGAAACATGAAGGATTCGATGTTTTCTCTTGGGACTTGTGCCGAATCGCAAAGCTCTTTGGAAGCGGTTGACTAGCTTCCGAGATTCAAGCACGTCTGTTGGTATATCATAATGTTTCTAATCATGTGCCCCTGAAAATGATCAGATAAAGATAGAATATTTATATCACGAATAGGACTCTTCTAGAAAACATAAACCAAACTAGCTGCCTTGGTTATGTGAGACTTGAATATGCCGTTCTCTTCTGGTTTTGTAGAGGATGTGCGAATCGTATAGAAACAGAACGTTTCATTTAGTCGTTGTGCTGTCTTCATAATGGCAGGCAAAACTCAAGGTTCAAGGTTCTCATTCAACGAAGGGAGTACGAGGTCTTTGCCTTTGGAGAAGTAAGAATGATGGGTAGATTCAACTATGGCAGGCAGGTGCGTCCTAACCACATACCAAGCCGTCTTTGAAGCTTTGGAAAGGAAGCCGACGCCCCCTTTTGTATTGTTCTGGTGTCAACTTACTTCCCCAATTCATGATGCTTTGATATTGGCCATATCACATTCTCCGTCCTCATCTTCCATTTGACCTGTTCTTGGTATTGGGTAAATTTCAAATTATCTCTCATAGCAGGGTACGACTAATTCAATCCAATAATTACCTACTCACCTATCTCGAACAACGGACACGATGGACTCGTCCAAGGGTGCATCTGTCTTGCCTTCCAATCCTCTCCCTAGCCATCGTCGCCGTATTCGTCGAACTGGAAATCGACGACGCGCGACAAGTTTACCCCTAAGTTATCTGCCCGGTTCCCGGAAGTCACCTGAGGCCGTGCCTTTTGCACTTCCCCCTTTAGAGCTTCAACTTCCCGATACATGGCGTCTGTGGAAGCCACCTATTGTTCATTGCCCACCGGTGACAAGTTCGCCGAGTTGGCTCCCGTATCCCAAATATGGCAGAGACGAGACTGGAATCAAACTTTGTGATGTTAGATCTCTCGCCTTACACTTGTTCTGCTATATCAACTAACTCCCGCAGACCAGAAGTCTCGACGATGATTTCCCTTTTCCACTCAAAGGATATACTACTTGGGAAATAGAGTCCATGCCTGACCAAGTGCTGACTGAGATAATCGCCGATTGGCATCGAACTCCAACTTTATCCTTTCGACCTGATACTGGGAATATGATATCACGTATTGCCCCTGGCTTGGTAGCAAAATGGGGGCCAGAAGTTTGTCAAGCAGAAGCAGACCTCATGTGGATCATCGAAGGGAAATGGAGATTGACGACCCACGTTCCAGTGGTGCACAAGATCCTTCGAGACAAGGTCACCAGACGATTGATCATCATCATGGATTACATCCACGGTTCTAACTTGGTTGATATTTGGTCTCGCATTCCAACAAACCGTCGAAACAAACTCATCACGAACATTGTT